TTCTCTGTGGTTTGACTCTGGGCAGAAATACCCAGGCTATATTTGCAACGTCCGTGTGTCTCTTTCTATAAGGCATAGTTTGGCGTTATCAACTAACTTAAAAGACCTAAAAATCAGCACAAAATCTGCTGAAAATAACAAACTCCTAGAGACTAGTTCACTCCTAAAGACCAGTTCAAAATTATTTCAAATTCAAACTAAATTACTGCAGTAAATAACTCTTAAGCTGAAACAGTAAAATAATTTTACTATTTTCAGCTTCTAAAGCATATTTCTAACACTCCTCCTTGCTTTTGAAGCTGCAAATTTTGAATTTATGCCTTGTAAACCTTTAACTAGAAGCGACTTTGTACGTAAATCTGCCAACTGATCTTTGGACTTGCAGTAAATTGAGTTCAATTTTCTATTTTGTTGCATCTCATGATTGTCAATAAAATAAGTTGACTCTTTTTTCGGCTTCATTTGCATTTTGCCTTGAGGCTTGTCAACTTTCTTCCACATTTGCATTTTGCCTCGAGGCTTGTCAACTTTCTTCCAAATTTTGTTTTTCTGAAATATTGACCACTTCCTTGCCTCATTTTCACGTATGTCCTCTTTTGGAGGATTATCTGCACTTTGTAGATTCTTTTGGCTCCATTCTTCATCTTCAGTTGGATCAAATGAGAAGTTTTTACCTCTCATTTTAACCCTTAAAATCTCAAGTCCAGTTGCATCATAAATGAAATAATATTTATCTTCAAAGGATACTTTAAATCCTTTTTTCATTAGTTGTCCAACACTTAATAAATTTTGATCAATATCAGGAACATAAAGAACATCTGAAATTTTCTTAGTACCTGACTTTGTTGGGATTGCAACAGTTCCTTTTCCCTTAGCAAGAATATAATCACCATTCCCAATTCTGACTTTCTTATTTCCCATAGACGTGAACTCTTTGAAAAGATTTTTGTCATATGTCATGTGGTTTGTAAAACCACTATCAATCAACCAAAAATCAGATTTCTTGATTAAAAGAATAGTTGCCACAAACAAGTGATCTTCTTCTTCTTCGTTGGCGACTTGGGCATCTGCTTCATGCTTTTGATATTTGCCTTTGCAAATTACAGCTTCATGACCAAGTTGGTTGCAAATTTTGCACTTTCCATATGGCCTCTTCCAACTTTTGAATGGTGGATGACCTTTTCTGCCACAGTGCTGACAAGGTGAGTAATTTTCTTTGCATTATTACCCTTGCTTTGAGTTCTGTGGTTTGCTGCCAAGGCTCCTTCAACCATACCATCTTGCCTCATAAGCCTCCTTTGCTCTTGTGCCTACAATGTATTTAACAATTCTGCCAAGACAATCTTGGATAGATCCTTTGTATTTTCCAAGGTAGTTATGGATACTTCATATTTTTCATGCACTGTAACAAGAATTTTTCAACAATTCTTGAATCTTTAAATTTAGTGCCAAGCAACCTTACCTTGTTAACAATGCCATGCAACTGATCTGAGTATTCTTTGACGGTCTCAGATTCTTTCATTTTCTGCAACTCGAATTCCCTTATTAAATTCAGCACCTTTATGCCTCGAATTCTTTCATCTCCTATATATTCTCCCTTCAGATAATTCCAGATTTCTTTTGCTGATTTGAGAGCCATAACTCTCGTGAAAATTATTGCAAATACACCAGCAAACAAAGTTTCTTTCGCCTTTGATTTTTTGATTTTCTTTTCCTTGTGACTCATGATCTGGGCCACCGTGGATTGTTAGGAAGCGGAAGAATATCATAATCCTCTTCCACGGCCTCCCAAAGATCTAAAGCCTCCAAGTAAGTCTCCATTCTCACCGCCAACAATTGGTAATTTTCACCATCAAAGACTGGAGGAGCCAATTGAGAAAAACTCGTTTCAGTCTCCATCTCACTCAAGAAAAGATTTACTTAGGTCTCTTAGGAAAATGGCTCTTGATACCAATTGTTGGTTCTTGATAAAAGAAATTAAGGGAAATAATAGGGGAAGATGATAGGAGAATAAAAAGAGTATACTGGAATAGATGTAAAAGAAACCGAAGCTGAAAATTCTATATTATTTTACTGCATTTGGACTACAACTTATAAGAGAAATACTAACTTAAAAGACCTAAAAATCAGTAGGGCTGCTTATCGGGCATATTGGGCGGTTATTTACTCTTAACGGTTTGGCTTATCGGTTATCGACTTTTAGATGTATTATTCCGCTAGCCACCCGATAAGATATCGGGGGGATTGGTATCGGTTTAGCTCTTACCGGGCGGTTATCGGACGGTTTATCGACCTAATTCAATCTGTATTGCACATGACGCAATTTACCAAATTTAGCGAGGTCAAAAATTTGCTTCGCCGTGCTTCAAATGTATGCTGATGTTGGTCAAAGAATGGGATTTCTTGCTCTTGTTTTATAACTGCTCCAATTTTCTTTAGATGTCGCTCTAATTTCTAAACAATCCAAGAGCACCCCCGAAATGTGTGCGGACTGACGTTTTTTTTACATGCAACCAAACCTGCAGATGTATGTGTTAAACCCAATTTAACAGCAGATTCTACTCGTTAAACTATCTCTTGTTTGTTAAGTTTTGGTACTTCCACTGCACCTACTGGAGGTGGTAAGAATACGTGAAGCAATCAAGTAAATTGTTTTTGGTTTGATAGGATTGAAAAGAATGCGCGCAGCAAGCAATTAAAATTTGTCTAATAGTAAATTAGTAATAGAGAATAAAGATAGAGTACTGGAACTGGAAGAAGGGTTTTTGAATATATATATATATATATATATATATATATATATATATATATATATATATATATATATATTGAAAGTTATTGTTGCTTATTTCATCAAGCTTTTAGTCATGATAATTGCAAATTTTGTCTGTTATATTGAAGTCTGCTAAACAAGTGAGAAGTCTAGTAACATTAGTATTCTTATTTGCGGTTGATAAAACCGAGCCAAAGGTCTTTCGGAAACAGCCTCTCTATCTCCCCGGGTAGGGGTAAGATCTGCGTACCCACTACCCTCCCCGGACAGAGGCGGATCCAGGATTTCAGGAGGATGGGTGCACTACTATCCGACCCACCGTTTGATTTGGTTCTCTAAAACTTACCTTGGAAAACTATCAATAATAGCATCATTATTTATAGTTACAAGTATTAAACTCAATATTTAATTTAAGGATATATCAAAGGGGAACCCAAAAACAGAAGAATGCATGGAAAAAAAGAAAAGAAAGATAGGGCATGGGATTTGAACAGAACAGGGAAAAAATGAAAAAGAGAAATAGAAATAGAAATAGAAAAATGGCTGAGAGATGGAAGATAGGGAAGTGGATTCGAACACGAGACCTAGGGGTCAATGGTGTACAAAGCTACCACTGCACCAAATGCTCTTTCGACCATGGGTTCCCATGTGGAAAGTTAAGAACTTTATCAGAAAAATGTCCCTGTGATACACAGCCTAAGGAGGGGAGCATGGGTGCACGTGCCCCATGCCCCTCCACGTGAATCCGCCTCTGTCCCCAGATCCCACTGGTGGGATTTCACTGGGTCGTTGTTGTTATTGTTGTTGCAGTTGATAAAAACCAGATTACAACAGAAAAGAAAAGGAGCCAAGATGCCACCCTTCTTACAATCCTTTGTTGAATGGGCATACCCATTCAATTTACAAAAATCCTTGTACATTCAANAAGACCCTCAGCAGCACCTGAAAAATTTTCTGTCAATTTGTGTGACCCAAAGGCAGCCAAATGTGACCCCGGAAGCTATCAAGCTGCTACTGTTCCCATTCTCTGTGACTGGGGAAGCTTAGACTTGGTTAAATTCGCTCCCTATCAATTCCATTGCCACCTGGGAGGAATTAGTCAAGCAGTTCCTGAACAAGTTCTATTCGCCAAACAAGACTGTAAGACAGATTGATGAAATATTGCAGTTTAAGCAGCAGCCGACTGAGTCCTTGCAAGAAACTTAGGAAAGATTTAAAGGGATGCTAGTGAAGTGTCCTCACCATGGCATTCCAGATCAGATGCTTAGCCAGAGATTCTACATGGGATTAGCTGACCATTTAAAAGCAAATATGGATGCTTCAGCTGGAGGTGCATTATTGAGTAAGACATTCACCGAGTGCAAAATCCTTCTTGACAAGATGTCACAAAATTCGGGGTGGATGACTAGAGCTACAACACTGGCACCCATAGTGCATTCAATTCCTCTTGACCCAAACAATTCACATGCAGAGAATATGGCCACACTCATGACCCAGATGAGCATATTGACGAAGAAGATTGATGAGATGGGCACAAAACATGTGGACATTGTTGATACAACAAATAGAGGACTGTGTACACCTTGTATTAATCAGTCCTATATGTGCTCATGGAGTGGAGAAGGCGAAAATCAATGGCCACGGGAAGATATGAATTATGTCAACAATTATGGAGGTCAGAGACAAGGAGCACAACAATGGAGACCGCAGAAAAATCAACAGTACAGGCCTAATATGCAACAGCCTGGGGGTATGCACCCTCAAAACCAATTAGTGCCAGTACCATATCAGAAACCACAGGGCTATCTACAGCAAAATCAGCAACAATTAGCTTATCAACCGCCTCCTCAGCAGCAAGATAACAATATGGTGGAAATCAGGGGTATGCTTCAGCAACTCATTGGGACAAATAATAAAGTGCTGGAAAAATTGGCAGTGCATGATTCAGCAATAAAGAACATAGAAACACAGTTGGGACAGCTGTCCATGGCTTTGAACAACTGTCCTCAGGGAACCTTGCCTGCACACACTAACATAAACCCCAAGGAGCAAAACCCAAATCAGCTGATGGCAGTAAGTCTCCGGAATGGGAGAGATTTAGATAGAGAACAGGAGAATCTACAAGCCAGAGAGGAGAGTACGACAGTCGCTCCAGTTCCGTTAGAGGTGGAGGATCCAACAGAGCTTACTGAAGTGGTGGTCGAGCAAAAGTTAGGAGAAAGAAAAGATGAATGAGCAAGCTGCAGAACAGGTGGCAGCTCTTGTGCCAGAAAATTCCAACATAGAGAAGCCAGCAAGTAATGCACAAAGGGTGATACCTGCACCCTTCCCTCAGAGACTGGTTAAACAAAAGAAGGAAGTTCAATACAAGAAATTTATAGAGATGTTGCGTCCTATTCAGTTGAATATTCCTTTGATGGATGCTTTGAGGGAGATGCCCGGTTATGCAAAGATGATGAAAGATTTAATGTCACGAAAGTTTGATTTTCAAGATCTTTCCACTGTGACTCTCACACAGACCTGCATCGCAGTAGTGATAAGACCGATGGCTTAAAAGATGTCCGATCTAGGTAGTTTCACTATTTCGTGCACAATTGGGAGCTACGCCTTTGCAAAGGCCTTATGTGATCTGGGGGCCAGCATAAATCTGATGTCGCTGGATGTGTATACTAAATTGGGCATCGGCAGAGCTAGACCGACTTCTATGCTGCTACAGCTGGCTGATCGCACGGTGAAAAGGCCAACTGGTATTCTTGATGATGTGTTGGTGCAAGTGGGGAAGTTCGTGTTCCCAGCAGACTTTGTTATCCTGGACTGCCAGGTAGATGAGGAGATACCTCTCATTCTGGGTAGACCGTTTTTGGCGACTGGCAGAGCACTGATCGATTGTGAGACTAGGGAACTAAAAATGAGACTGAACGATGAGGAAGTCATATTCAATGTTCAGCAATCTATGAGAAGACCCAGCGACTATGCTAATTGCTCTTTAGTGGATGCAGTAGATGTGATTCTTCAAGAGGACAACGCGACCCTGACTGTAAATGACCCATTGGATGCATGTCTGAAAATATAGAAGAGATGGATGGTGAAGGGTTAGCTGACTGGGTCATGGCACTTGAAGGCCGAGGATTCTGGACAAGGGAACCTCAATTTGAGTCCCTTGAATTAGAAAAAAGGGCTACACCTCCAGCAAAGCCATCAATAGAAGAACCACCCAAACTGGAGCTAAAGCCACTCCCAAATCACCTCAGGTATGTGTTCTTGGGACCTGATTCGACCTTGCCTGTTATTATATCATCCGGTTTGCTAGATGTGCAGGTAGAACGGCTCTTACAGGTACTATAAGAAAACAAGACTGCCATTGGCTGGACCATGGCAGACATAAAGGGTATCAGCCCAGCCTTCTGTATGCATAAGATTCTCTTGGAAAAAGGGCACAAACCTTCCAGAGAACATCAACGAAGGCTGAACCCAAACATGAAAGAGGTAGTAAAGAAGGAGGTAATCAAATTGTTAGATGGGGGAATCATCTTTCCCATCTCTGATAGCAATTGGGTCAGCCCTGTCCAATGTGTGCCTAAAAAGGGGGGAATGACTGTTGTGCAAAATGAAAACAATGAGTTGATATCAACTCATACAGTCACAGGGTGGCGGATTTGCATGGATTACCAGAAATTGAACACCGCCACCCGAAAGGACCACTTTACCTTGCCTTTCATTGACCAAATGTTGGACAGGCTGGCCGGGAGATCACATTTTTGTTTCCTAGATGGATACTCGGGGTACAATCAGATATCAATAGCCCCCGAGGATAGACAGAAAACATACTTCACCTGTCCGTATGGCATCTTTGCCTTTCGGAGAATGCCTTTTGGGCTTTGCAATGCACCAACGACTTTTTAACGGTGCATGTTAGCCATCTTCACAGATATGGTGGAGGATATTATGGAAGTCTTTATGGATGATTTCTCCGTGGTGGGAGATTCATTCAAAGACTGTCTTCACAACTTAAGCAGAGTGCTCAAAAGATGTGTGGAGACAAACTTAGTGCTAAACTAGGAGAAGTGCCATTTTATGGTACAAGAAGGGATAGTCCTGGGACATCGAGTGTCCAGAAAAGGAATTGAGGTCGACCATGCTAAGGTTGACGTGATTGAAAAGCTACCACCGCCCACTTCAGTCAAGACGGTGAGAAGCTTTCTTGGGCACGCCAGGTTCTACTGGCGTTTCATAAAAGATTTTTCCAAAATTGCTAACCCACTATGCAAACTCCTTGAAAAGGATCAACCCTTTGTGTTTTCTAATGATTGTAGGTTGGCATTTAAGGAACTGAAGAAGAGGCTGGTAACTGCACCCATCATTGTTGCCCCCAACTGGGAGCGACCATTTGAGCTGATGTGTGACGCAAGCGACTATGCCATAGGAGCAGTCTTGGGGCAGAGAAAAGATAAGCTGATGCACCCGATTTACTATGCAAGCAGAACACTAAGCGGTGCACAGCTCAACTACACTGTGACGGAGAAGGAGATGTTAGCGGTGGTTTTTGCTTTTGACAAGTTCCGATCATATCTGATTGGTTCCAAGGTAATTGTATACACTGACCATGCAGCTATCAGGTACCTAATTGAGAAGAAGGAGTCTAAGCCGCGCCTGATTCGTTGGGTGCTGCTGTTGCAAGAATTTGACCTTGAAATTCGTGACCGTAAGGGCACAGAAAATCAAGTCGCTGATCATATATCACGACTTGAAGGAGCTGAAAAATCAGTCGAGGTCGAAGAGATTCTGGAAACCTTTCCAGATGACCAGTTGCTCGCAGCTACTCTGGAAGATGCGCCATGGTATGCAGGTATTGCAAATTACCTGGCCTGCGGTATAGTTCCATTTGACCTTTCATCTGTCCAAAAGAAAAAGTTCTTTCGTGATTGCCGCATGTATTATTGGGACGAGCCTCATTTGTTTAGAATATGTGTTGATAATATTATCCGGAGGTGTGTCACCGAGATAGAACAATCTTCTGTTTTGCAGGCTTGTCACGCATCAGCATATGGAGGACATTTTGGAGGGGTCAGGATAGCTGCGAATGTGCTAGAGGCCGGATTCTTTTGGCCAACTGTGTTTGGAGATGCACACCTCTGGGTCAAGGGCTGCAATGAATGCCAGCGGACCGTGAAAATTTCCCGTCGCCATGAGATGCCAATGAACCCGATTCAAGAGGTAGAGGTGTTTGATGTTTGGGGGATTGACTTTATGGGTCCGTTTGTCAGCTCATTTGGTAATAAGTACATCCTTGTTGCTGTGGACTACGAGTCTAAATGGGTAGAGGCTGCAGCGTTGCCCACTAATGATGCAAGAGTGGTGGTAGGATTTCTGAAAAAGAACATATTCACCAGGTTTGGGACACCAAGAGCGATCATCAGTGACGGAGGAACTCACTTCTGTAATAGAGCCTTCGAGAAACTACTTGCTAAATACGATGTACGCCACAAGGTGGCCACCCCTACCATCCGCAAACCAGTGGGCAGGTTGAAGTGTCCAACAGGGAGATAAAAAGTGTCTAACCAAGACGATGAATGCCACACGAACTGATTGGGCAAAGAAGCTTGATGACGCACTCTGGGCCTATAGAACTGCGTTCAAAACACCAATAGGTATGTCACCATACAAGTTGGTATTTGGGAAGGCCTGTCACCTGCCTGTTGAGCTAGAACATCGAGCTTGGTGGGCACTAAAGCAATTGAACATGGATCCTGACGCAGCTGGACAAAATAGACTAACAGAGTTGCATGAGCTGGAAGAATTTAGATATCAAGCCTTTGAAAGCATGAGGCTATACAAGGAAAGAATTAAGAAGATGCATGACAAACACATTGTGGATAGAGATTTCAAACTCGGTGATAAGGTATTACTGTATAATTCAAGGTTGAGATTGTTTCCGGGTAAGTTAAAGTCCCGATGGTCAGGGCCATTTAGAGTGGTGCAAATGTTCGCAAGTGGAGCTGTTGAGATCGAGTCAGAAGATGGGACAAACAAATTCTCAGTAAATGGGCAAAGGTTGAAACATTACCTTGGAATAACTGAAGAAAAAGGGGATACAGTGGTGATCAATTTGAAAGAACCCCAGTACGCGAATGAGGAGTGACGGCTCAACTACTTGCGTCGTGCCGCGACGTTAAATCAGGCGCTGCGTGGGAGGCAACCCACGAATGTGTTGTAAGTATAGTATAAAAAAAATCCCTGGAACATATTGTATATATGCAGGATAGTGCGGAGGACGTTGCATCGCGAGCCTGAGCATAAGATGGGTAAGGTAGGCATTAAAAGAGGTAAAAAAAAAATAGTGCCTAAGGGGCAAAACAATGAAAAGAACCCCGAAATTGGCGTCCAGGAACAGGCCCAGACCGCGGTCACGGCGTAACGCGGTAGGACCACGGTCAGAGATCTTCTCTAATGAAGGCTCACTGCGGTCACGGCGTAACCGCGGTAGGACCGCGGTCAGAGATCCTCTCTGATGAAGGTTCACCGCGGTCACAGCGTAACCGCGGTAGGACCGCGGTAGGTCAGAAGGGGCCCAGGTACCTCTGCAGAATTTTTTTTTATTTTTTATTTTTTTTCTTTTCCTCTCTTTTCCTCCTTTAATTAACCTAACCTAACTCTACCCTCCCCATACCAACCGACACTTCTCTCCTTTTCTCTCCCCTTCTCTCCTCTTCTGTCCTCCTTCTTCTTTCTTCTTCTTCCCCAAACCCAAAACCCCCATTTTTATTCCTTCTTCTTCTTCCTTTCCTCCAACCAAACCCACCACCCCAATTCTCTCCTCTTTCTTCTTTCTTCTTCTTCCCAAAACCGCCCCCCTACCTCTCCAAAACCCCCAAATCTGTTTTACTTTCTCAAGTAAGTGTTTTTCCCCCAAGACTCCGCTGTAATTTTCAAGTAAGTTGTTCTACTTTTTCTTTTGTTTTGTGTACATTGTATTATGTAGTAGTTACTGTGTAGAATTCTTGATTTTGGTTGCAATGGGGTCTTAGACTCCAAGTTTGGTGTTGTAGATAGTGTTTGGGGTTGATTTGTGTCGAAGTGGTTGTGTGCTCTTTGTTGACAATTTTTGTGTGGGGTGAAGTGCAGCATGTGGCTTGGGAGTTGTCTCTTTTGTCAAACTACTCGACTATGGAAGGCCATGTGGGTGGGTGGTGGTAGCACTTAACAGTTATGAATTTGTGGAAGCTTGCGTGGGGTCTTATAAGGCGGAATTGTAGCATTGATAGTGGTGTGGGGGCAATGGTGAATGTTGTCAACTTTGGCACCTTACTAGATGGTTATACTGGCCATGTTTGACAAAAGGGAACTGTTTGGTGCCAGCGGGTGGCGAAGTCTGAGTACCCATCTGACTGGCACATGTTAGGCAAATGTAGGAGACTCCTCTTGATGACGGACCACTTAGACAGTATTCTTGAGGGAAGTAGTCTAATAATAAAAAAAAAAGCCAAAAAGATTTTTTTATTTATTTTATTTTCTTTTTAGGTAGTGTAGTAATTCCCCCTTGGTTTTTCTTTTGACCACGGTTCTTTTCCAAGGGTTTTATTTGAACCGGGTGTAGTTAGTTTTTTTTTTGAGAGCAGGAGCCATTGTGTTGTGTTTTGAATTGAAGCAATATCTCTTGACTTGGTTATGCCATGAGAATAGTGAGTACTTTGGCTGTGACGCTTAGGCTCAGTTTTTGACTCTCGTATAAGTACCTTAAATTGTATGATCTTAACTTTGCTTAACTGCTTTGACTAGAGTGTCTTGATGAAACCAATCCTGAGTGAGTTATGTGCCATGTGTGTGTAAGGATTTGTTATATTCTATGCATTGCATTTGATGCCTAAAACTTGCCCCGTCTGTTTGCAAAGCGAAATAGTAGTTTTATTCAGTCTAGGAAGTGATATAGGCATTTCTTTGTTGAGCCAGATATGTATATTTTACCCGCCTAATTGTTATGTATCGTAGTTAACCCTTTTGAGCCTGTAATCCTGTTTCTTTGGCAACCACATTACAAGCCTTACCCATTTGTTTGAATGGACTATCTAGTTGAAC